TAGAGCAAGTTACTAAAACTTTAAAAAGAGTATATGGACTTGAAGCCAAGAATGAAAGACTGACCATGAAAAGGGGAGGGAAATGCTGAATCTAACTATCTGCTGTCTCTGGCTGGCTCCAACATGACCAAGCTGATTTCAGGGCATTCTTACCCCTCTCCACAGCCACACTGTGACAGCAACACCATCCATGCCTTCAAACAGATGAAGATAGTGTTGGTCATACTGCACGGGGTGGGGAGGTAGGAAAAGAGAGGATTTCAAAAGAAAAAATTTTTTGTATGTTGAATGTTTACTTTGTGATCAGATAACTGGGCAGATATCTCATCAATCAATGAATTAATCCTATTTATTAATTGATCATGTAATTTTTTATAATATATTCACTAAATCAGGAGTGCTCTGTCCTACTGTGGGGTTTTAGTGCTTTTATCTCTGAAAGGAAGCAGGGAAAGTGGCTAAAGTTAGGTATTAGAGAGAAGGAAAAGACATGACCTTCAATCAGAAATCAAAGCAAGATATCAGGTTTTGTGGAAATCTGTTTCATTTCAGTAGCAAAAACAGGCTGCCCTCTAAAATCAACCTGAGCAAGAAGACCTCCATGGCCCAAATCAGGGCCAACTGCTCATGTCCGTTCTCCATCCCAGCCACACCCCAACTCCAGCTTCCTGTTCCTCAGTGATTTCTTGGTACCTGTTCCCCGTCTTCTGTTGTACAGCTGTGAATCTGATGCCTTCTCTACTTTGTTCTCAGCATCTTGTATCCAGATCTGACAACAGATCCTTCGCTGGTCCTGCAGCTCTGCCCATGGACTTGGTCCAAATTTTAAGCTCAGTTCCTGTAAGCCTTCATTTCTGGGCAAGCTGTGTTTCAAAAAGACAACAATATTCTACTACAAGCAAAACCTGGGTTCTGATGACAGCTCCTCATTCTTCCCAACTGCAAAGGCTACTCATTACTGTAGCAGTGAGCCTGGGCCCTGGACTATGGTCTGCCCTGTTTCCCAAAGCCTCCACCCTGGATGGAGCATTAAATGACAAGAATTAAGTAACGCTGACTCTAACCAACGTACATGCCTGGGGGAAGGGGTTGAGTTCTGACAGGATATATCTTCAAGGAGCTCTCATTCCAGCCCAAAACCTGGGATAGGAGGCAGAAGGGGTTTGCATATTTCTGTCTTTTAGATATGCCCGGTTTCCTTGGCTTGTATATGATCATCTATTCCTGGTTTTCTTCCCACCTCCCTGGATACCCCTGCTTTGTACCCCACCTCCTTCACCCAGCTTGGCCCTAGGCCTTTTTCATTCATCATTATCAACTCTCTCTAGGAAATCTCCACTCCAGTGCTTCAATATGCTGAAGACTTGCATATTTACACGGTATCAAATGTGTATAGTATCTCCAATCTAGACTTCCTCTTGAGCTATAGACCTACATATACCACTATTTGATCTCTCCTTGGATAACTCCAAACTCCTCAAATTCAACATATTCAAAAGTGAACTCCTCATTTCTCCCCAAGCCTGGGTATCTGTTAGGATTCCCTAGCTTAGTAAATGACCCCAGCATCCATCCAGTTTCACAGCCAGGAACCTAGGGCCATCTGGGCACCTCTATCTCCCTTACTTTCCATACTTAGTCTATTACCAAGTCCTTCATAACTTCTGAAACCACTTCCCTCCATCTTTGCTACTACTGCTAAAGTCCAGAGACTTAAGTTAGAGTAAAAATAATAAAAGCTAACAATTACCAAAGGTTTATTATATACAAGGCAGGCACTCTTTTAAAACTCTATATAAATGATCTCTCCTAATCACTCTACGTATTAGCTTCCTAGGACTGATGTAACAAATTGCCACAAACTAAATAGCTTAACATAAAAGAAACTGATTCTTTCACAGTTTTGAAGGCTAGAAGTCTGAAATCAAGGTGTCAGCAGAGCTGTGTTCCTTTCAAAAGCTCTGGGGGAAGATCCTCCTGCCTCTTCCAGCTTCTGGCAGCTCCAGGCATTCCTTGATTTCTGGCAGCATGACTCCAATCTCTGCGTCATCTTCATGTGGCTGTCTCCTCCCTATGTGTGTCTTCTTGTCCTTTGTTTCAAATCTCCTTCTGCCTTTTTCTTAGAAGGCCTCTTGTCATTGGATTTAAAGCCCACCCAGATAATCCAAGATGATTGCCTCATCTCGAGGCCCTTAACTTAAGTACATCTGCAAAGACTCTTTTCCCAAATAAGGTAAGAATCACAGACCCCAGGGATTAGGAAGTGGACATTTGTGGCCACCATTCAATCCACTACACCCTCAAAAAAGTAAGTATAGTTATTAGTCCCCTTGGATAGATGAGGCAATTGAGACTTAGAGAGTTTAAGGGACTTGTCCAAGTTCACACAGCTAATATGAACATGAGATTCATGTTTGGTTTATAGTTTCCATACTTTCAGGAGAACAATTTCAATACTTTTCTGAAAGGAGTAACAGTTTCAAGAAATTTGTCCCTTAGATGCCAAATATTGCTTCTTCAATCCATTCATTACTAGACCACACCACTAGTGTTATCTTCTAAAATTATAGATCAGATCCAGTGCCTGGCATGATGTCTGTCATACAGAAGGTACTTAATAAATAGTTGTGAATAAATTAATGTGATCACATCACCAGGCTCATCAAAAATCATTAAAAATCCCACATTGCTTAAAATGAGTTTCACACTCTTCAACAAAGCATTTAAGACCCTCCAACCCCCCATAAAATTAAAAAAATAATAATTTTGGAATGAGGACAGTCTTCCTAAGAACATCCATAAGTCATGGAAAAAGAGATTGATAAATTTGGTCATGGAATTTCAGCATGGAAAAATTTCATAAGTAAGGTCAAAAAACAGTGGTCTGGAAAAACATTCACAACACATATTACACATATGTGCCTAATGTCCAAAGGAAGCAGGTATCTTCATTTATTTTTGTTGGAATGTAAACTGATGAAGCTTCTTTGAAGGGAGGTTTAGAAAAATAATATAATTTATCTCTCCCCTGACCCAGCATTTCCACCACTAGGAATTTATTCTGTAGATCATCTCTCGCTTTGGCACAAAGCTGTTCACTGCTACAACCTTTGCAATAAAACTTGATTGGAAATAACCTAAATGCCCACCAACAGGAGCTGGTTACATCCATTATGGTACAACTATAACTTGGGACATCATGTGGCCCTTTTAAAATGAGGCATGTCTTTATGCCTCAGTGAGGAAGAAGTTAACTCAAGATGCAGAACACTACATATAAAATGGTACAATTTCATAAACAACAAAAAGAACACATATGTATATGCACTTATATGCTATACATACATATAAATATTTTTGAAGGGATAAACCTGAAACTTGTAACTGCATTTGCCTTTGAGAAAAGAACAGTGAGACTGAATACCAGGGTGGAGGGAAGGTGTATTTTTCAATGTTAACTCTATTGTATTGCTTGAATTTATTTTGCCATGTGTTTGCATTGCCCAGGAGAGATAGAGAAAGGGAGAGAGAGAGAGAGAATTTATAAGCTAGTTTTCACCTAATTTTCCATCTTGATTTCATACCTGCACTTGACAATTCATTGCTTCCCAAACATACTGAGTATGTTCATGTTGAGTGTGTGTGTGTGTGTGTCTGTCTGTCTGTGTCTAATGTCCTATCATTCTTGACTCCCACAATTTCTGTCTGTAGAAATCCTGCTCTTCAAAAGCTCTCCATGCAACCTCCCTGATCGTCAGTGTTGGAATCAACCACTCTTACCTCCGGACTCAGAAAAGCCCTGTTCATCCTGCTTTGAATTATAGTTATGTCCTCAAGTTGGCCATTCTCATTAAATTAGCTCCTAAAGGGAAGTGCTGACTTCTGTGTTCCCTAGAACACAGCATTGCTGAATGTATATCATTAACCAAAAACTATTAAGCAGAAGAGTCATCTAGAATAGTCTATTTCCCATGATGACCCAATTTTTTTTAAAGATTTTATTTATTTGACACAGAGAAAGAGCACAAACAGGGGCAGCTGCAGGCAGAGGGAGAGGGAGAAGCAGGCTTCCTGCAGAGCAGAGAGCCCGACGTGGGGCTCGATCCCAGAACCCCGGGATCATGACCTGAGCCGAAGGCAGACGCTTAACCGACTGAGCCACCCGCCCCCCAGTTTTAAGGGTGACAGAGAAAAATATCTAGCCCAAATACAAGAATCCTCCTTGGCATGACTAACCAAAACAGCAAATCAGAAATCCTCAAAACTGAAGATAAAACCAATACTGTATATCAGATAAAATGATTACAAGAGATACATGTGAAATGAAATAGGAAGCTACACTTGAAATATATTAGAGCTAAGAGAAAAATGAAAGAAAAAATGATTTCTGTCATAATACAGAAAAAATAGCTCTTGACATATTTTTGTTTGTTTTTTAGCCAAACACATGAACTCTGGTCATAAAATAGGCACACACTGATTTTTATCATGAAGCAGGCTACTTCTCAGATTGGAACTAACGGTGCTCTCCATCTTTGCTGCCTCCTCCCACAAAGGTCCATAACAATGCAATTCACTCAACTACTTAATAACCACAGTCTTTTCCAAGCAAAATTTCCCAAATCGTAAGTTTACTGTAATTTGGTTGTTTTTCTTTCCTTTTCTTTTCTTTTTTTTACTATTTACTTTTTGCCATCATTTAAACCCATATCCTCTCATCCTCAATGATATGGGAATGAGTGTAGAGGGTCACATTACTCCATATGTTTAACTTTCATGTATCCTAAAGCACTTCATGGTAATTGATTATACACTGCCTACTATAAGCAATAAAACCAATTTTTTTTCTGCTCCTAGAACAGTTATTCTGCTTTAGTCTCTATATAAAGGTAGAGGACCACCCATTTCTGTTGGTTTTATAACAACATACAATAAAGTAAAATAAATACAATAAAGTAAAAATTAAAAATGGCAATGATTAAAAGTTTACTTCAACTTACTGTTAATGCTGTTTCATACTCTCCAGCAGCTAGGTGTGCTAAGCCCAAGTAATAGGAAGCTTCTCCTTCCATCTTTTTGTCACTTCCTAAAGTTGAAAAAGTAAAAAATTGTCATGGCATTAAAGAAACTGATTTACGACAATAAGCAGAATTTTTGCTTTTTAAGACAGTAGAAAGTTGTAACAAAGTGTACAGACTTATGAACAATTCCTGAAACCTCACTGTGTACTGATTTTAAAAGGCTGATGTTAATATAAGTTACCCGACTCACAAATGTTAGACTATAGTGCATTAGCCATGTAAGTAAGAGGAGTTTTCTTCTACATACACAGCTCAGTATTATCATTTTGACATTCGTATGTAATTTCTATACTGGTCCACCATGTAAAGACTCATAGTCATCCAGCACAGCTGCTCCTACAGACATGAAATCATTGGTAAAGGGCATCAGCTTTACACGGTGCACAAACACATGTACACAGAGAAATGGACATTCAGTTAAGTCTAACAGGGCAGATAATTAGCAAATTAAGGAATTATTGTTTTGATTAAGTTCAATTTAAAAGCTATTGGTTAAAACCTGGGATGAAAATGACTGACAGCTTGCCTTCTTGATACAACATTCCATGGGTATTTTGAAATCCAAACACATTTTTTCTTTGCTAATGACTGGTAATACTTCTCATCACCTTTTCAAAGGAATTGTAGCCTTTCTAATTTCTGTGAATTTGTTTTATTCCAGGAGTTATCAAAATCTTCTTTCCAAAGCAATACGTGTAGTTGTGTAATGTGCTTTAGTAAGACATATATCATACCATCTAATAAATACACAATTTTTTACATTTATATACTAAATATATAAATCAACAGACTTACCAGAACCATTACAGTTTTTCATTTTTAAGAAAGAATACTATTCTCTTTCTACTCTTTGGCTTTTAATGTTACCTAACTCCTGGGTAATACAAATGCTGGCAGCTCCACCCCCCACTCCCCTTTAGATTTCTGAACTCTGTATTCCAGCCATGATGGATTTCAGCAGGAGCTAACAATTCTCCATACTACATTCACTCTCACCACTCACTGAATTACTACTTGTGAAGCAGTGGCTCAACTGAAAGACTATAAGAAAACAGGATGGCAAATGCCAGTGACAGTGTTGTTATGATTATTCTCAAGCAATTTCATTATTGCAGAGAATTATAGCCTCAAGATCCCACTTCAGCAGAGCTGATGGTGCCACTGATCCAGCCTGGGGATTTTTAACTCTTACAGTTTATCTGGGCCTTAACTTCTTATCTGCTATAGGTTTATAAGTGCTAAGGATAAGGATGGACCTAGGAAAGGGAAGGATGGGGTAGGAGGGAGAGGTTATGAGGGGAAGTTGCCTCTTGGATATTTAAAAGTTGATTATTTATAAGTTGTACTTGCTCTATTAAATGCTGTAACTATGTTAAAGTAGTATACTTATACTAACAGTGGCATGTGCTGATTTAGTATCACCATTTGCATCCAATTTTATGTAAAGGGCAGCCTAGCAAAGAAAAGAAAAATCGACCCTTGTTGATAGATTTTGAGGCAGCTAATTGAAACAGTTGAGTCACACTAAATATTAGCTTTAAAATAGGATTTAAGCATGAGAACTTTTCCTGCTTACTAAGTGAAACAAAATTAAGATAAAGTAAAAGCATAAAATTAGGAGGGAAATGTCAGCATTATTAAAGTTGAATGACACATATAGCAAAAGAAAAAGGGGCAAAATACTATTTATATTATTGTGTAGTTTATTTGGGTGGGTTAAATTAGTATTGGCTTTAATGATTCAATAATCATTCATGTTAAAGGAAATACGATGTTGTATGGTCAAGACCTAAATTGTCCATTCTTATACTGGTAAGTCTGTAGAGAATCTAAAGAGGGGGTCATCACAGAGGTCTAATGGATAGAGACAATGTGTTTGGGAGTAACTCAAAAGTTTCATTAAAATGTGTCTTAAAACCTCCATTTGTTATTTGGCTAACATATATTCACTAATTCATTTATTCACTGAATATTTACTGAGGACCTATTCTGTGTCAGGCACAGCTCTAAGCACTTGGAATACACCAGTAAATTAACCAGAAACATTTTCTGTCCTTGGAGAGCTTACATTTTAGAGGAAAGGGACAGAAAGAGATACAAAATAAATAATAAACATAATAAATTTTGTGGTAAATTGTATGGTGATAAGTACTCTTGGAGGAAAAAAATACAGCAGGGCAAGGGGAATTGAGAGTGCTAAATCGGGGGTAAAGAGAAAAAAGCAGGTTTCAATATTAAGTGCGGTGGTCAGGGTAGTAGATCCAACTGAGAAGATGGTATTCACAAGAGAATGAAATTAGGAATTGATAACAAAACATATGGGAGACTCACAAGTATGTGGAAATAAAACACACTCCTAAATAACTAGTGGGTCAAAGAAGAACTCAGAAGGTAATAAACAGGAAAATACTTAGAAATAAATGAAAACAAACAAACAAAAACAACAATGAAAACTAATGGGATCCAGCTATAGCAGTGCATAAAGGGATATGTATAGCTATAAATGCCTATTTTAAAAAATAAGGAACATCTTTTCATCTTCTAAAACTAGAAAAAGAACTAACTAAACCCAAAGCAAACAGAAGGAAGAAAATAATAAAGACTAAAGTGAAAATAAATGAAATAGAAAACAGAAAAACAATAGAGAAAATCAAAACTAAAAATTGTTTCATTGAAAAGGTCAAAATTGACAAACCTTTAAGCTAGACTGAATAAGGAAAAAAGAGAGATGTCTCAAGTTACTTAAATCAGGAATGAAAAAGGGAAGATCACTATAGACCTTAGAGAAATAAAAAGGGTGATAAGGGAATATTATGGACAATTACATACCAACAAATTAGATAAACTAGATGAAATAGACAAATTACTAGAAAGGTATAAACTACCAAAATTGACTCAAGAAGAAACAGAAAATCAGAATAAATCCATAAGTAAAGAAATTGAATTAGTAATCAAACTCTTTTCCACATAGAAAATCCCAGGCCCAGAGGGCCTCACTGGTGAATTCTACCAAATATTTAAAGAATAACCAATACCAATTTTTCACAAACTCTTCCAAAAATTAAGAGAAAACACTTCCCAAATCATTCTATGAAGACATTATTATTTTGACATTAAATCAGATAAAGACATCATAAGAAAACTACAAACCAATATCCCTTGTGAATATAGATAATAAAAGCCTCAACAAAATATTAACAAAGTGAATCCAGCAACATATAAAAAGGATTATGTACCATGATCAAATGGGATTTATCTCAGGAAGGCAAGATTGGTTCAACATATGGAAATCAATCAAAATAATATGCCATATTAATAGGAAGGATAAAAACCAAATGCTCATCTTAATAGATGCAGAAAAAGCATTTGACAAAATCCAATCCCTTTGCATGATAAAAATCTTCAACAAACTTAGAATAGAAGGGAACTTAATAATGTTAAGGAGTACCAACAAAAACCCCACAGCTGACATCATTCTTAATGGCAAAAGACTGAGAGCTTTCACCCTAAGCTCAGGAAGAAGACAAAGATGTATTCTGGAACCAATTCTATTTAACACTGTGCTGGAAGTTCTAGCCAGTGCAATTAGTCAAGAAAAATAATAGGCATTGTAAAGGAGGCAAACTCTAACCACTAAGGGTTTTTTGGCTGGACCTGAGAATTAAATTGACATAAGACAGATTAATAGGAGAAAAAACACACAAATTTACATAAGTTTTAGGCGACATGGGAGCCTTCATAAGGAATGAAGAGCCAAAGAAATTGCAAAATCTACATGCTTTAGTATTGGGTTGAACAAAGAGAGGCAATTGTGGAAAAGTAACTAAGCAATGCAGGGAGGCTAAAGGAAAATAAGGATTATTTTAACAAAGTCTGTTTGTACAGAATTCTCTTGGCTCTGACTCTTCATAGAAGAATGTTTCTTTTCTTGTGGTACAGGGAGGGCATCTTTCACATGGCAGTTTTTAATTTCTTGTTTTCAGGAGGAAAAGGGGAGATTACATACCCTTCTTGTATCTCTGTTGTTTTTCAAGTGATTTTAGCTCAAATGCTCCTTATGCCAAAGTGGTTTTTGGAGTTGTATATTCTGTCACCCTTCAGCATCAAGATCAGAAAGGAGGAAGTAAAGCTATATTTGCAGATAACATAATATTATATATGGAAAAATCCTAAGGAATCCATAAAAACCATTAAGGCTAATAAACAAGTTTAGCAGGATACAAGATCAACATACAAAAGTTAATTTTATTTCTACCTCCAAGTGATGAAAAATCTGAAAATGAAAGAAAAAAATCCATTTCTAAAAGCATCAGAAAAAAAACATTAGAAATAAATTTAACAAAAAGGCAAATTGTATACACTAAAAAATTCAAAACATCATTGAAAGAAATGAAATATGTAATAAATGGACAGATAACCCATATTCATGGACTGGAAGACTGAGTGTTAAAATAGCAGTATTTTCCCAATTGCTTGACAGTTTCAATTCAATCCCTATGAAAATTCCATCTGTTCTTTCTGCAGAAATATGCAAGCTAATCCTAAAATTCATGTGGAAATGCAAGTGATGCAGAATAACCAAAGCAATCTTGAAAAAGAATATTGGAAGACTCACATTTCCCAATTTCAAAACTTACTACACAACTACAATAATCAAGAATGTGTAGTAGTGGAATAAGGACAGATACATAGATCACCACAATAGACTTAAAAGTCCAGAAAACATTTATGGGCAATTAATTTTTGATGAGGGTCCTAAGACAAATTGTTGGAAAAGAATAGGGTGTACAACAAATAGTACTGGGACAACTGGATATCCACATGGAAAACATGAAGTTGGACCTTCCTCATATCCCCCTTCACACACACACTTAAAAATAGACTATAGGCCTAAATATAGGCGTTAAAATTGTACAAAACACTTAGAATAAAATGTAGGAGTAAATCTTCAAGACCTTGGATTTGTGGAAGCCTTCTTAGTTATAATACCAAAAACACAAACAACAAAACAAAAAATAAATTATTTTGGACTTTGCCGAAATAAAAAACTTGTGCTTCAATGGAAAGTGAAAAGGAAACCCATTATTTTCAAGCCATATCTCTGATGAAGGACTTGCACTTAGAATATATAAAGGATACTTAAAACAATTCAATAATAAGTTGACAACCCACTTGAAAATGAGCAAAGAATCTGAATAGACATTTCTACAGAGAAGATATACAAATGACCTCTAAGCCCAAAAAAGATGCTCAACATCATTAGCTAACAGGGCAATGTAAATTAAATCCACAGTGAAGTATCATGTTAGACCTACTAAGATGGCTATAAACAAAAAGAAGGACAGCAACAAGTGCTGGTGAGAAAGTTTATGGATGAATTGAAACCTTTACACATTGCTGGGAAGAATGTAAAATGGGACAGCTACTTTGGAAAACTCTAGGTCATCTCCTCCTTAAGTTAAACATAGAGTTATCCTATGGCCCAGCAATTCCACTTCTAGGTCTGGAGACAAAAGGCTTGAAAACTTGTACACAAATGTTGACAAAAGGTGGGAACAACATAAATGTTCATCAAGCAATGAATGGATAAAGAAAATAGGACATAACCATACAATGGAATATTATTCAGCCATAAAAAGGAATGTAGTAGTAATATATGCTACAAGATGGATGAAACTTGAAAACATTATGCTAAGTGAAAGTAGCCAGACACAAAGGACACACATTATATGATTCCATTTATATGAACTTTCCAGAATAGTTAAATCCATAGAGACAGAAGGTAGCTTAATGGTTATTATGAGAGAGGGAAAGTCGAATATGGGGAGTGACTTCTAGTGAGTTTGGCATTAGTGTTTTGGTTGTATAACTTTGTGAATATACTAAAGACCAATGAATGACTGAAAAATGAAAATAATAGAATAATAGAATCATGAGACCACTGCATGGCCAGTGTTATCCTTGTGCATTATACCAAGGTGCCCAAGTAAAGGAGTTGGCCCACAGTGGATGTCAGGACTCCTTAAATATTATGCAAATCAATGTAGGAGGCATGCCTTATAAGGCAGGCAATCATCAGTTTGCTGCTTCAGGCTCCTTAACCAAAGTAGGACATAATAGCAAGAAGAAATGCTTTGTCCCAGGGCATTCAGCTGTTGTCAGAGCTCTTGTAAGATACTGTGCAATCCCTTAACCTATCTACTTTGTTATATGGGAAATACAGAGGCAAATATTTATCAGTTTTACAAGATATTTAAAAAATTATTACAGCATAAGATTTCTCCTGTTCTCCTCATCTGTCCTTTGAAAAGTAAGAGATGCTTTTAAAAGGAGACTGCCTGGCAGGCTCCGACTCTGTGAAGAGACCCTCGGAGCCTTCCTTTCTTTGTAAACTAACTTACAACTTAGCAAATGTGAACCTAAAGCAAAATACCTTTTCCTAATTGATACATTACTTTCCATGGAAATTCCACATAACTTTCCATGTGACCAAAGTTAGTTGCTGAAATTGATCTAAGAGCTAACTATTTATATCAGTGTTTACCCCTTTGGGGAAAGTACTAGATTACCTGTCATTCAAAAGCAGTTCATTCAGTGGGATACATCTTTCAATGAGGGTGATTTCTTATGAGTATTATAATATCATTAAAAAGAAGTAACGGAGAGAATAAGCTAAGATGTTTACCTTTACTCTTTAGAAAATTAAAATCACAACCAGAAATTCAGTCCTGCTTATTCCAAGTAAACCATACGTTACTTGATAAACCAATCAATTAAGTATATCCTCGAGCTAATACACTTTAAGGAGCATAGCTTCTTTTTCTCCGTCATGAAAAGTCAACTCTATTGATAAATTATGGTAATAAAATATCTTTGCATTTCACAAAGTAAAAGCTTATGAGTATATGCTCCAAATTTTTTCTTTATATTTTATATATATACAAATGATATAGAATATTAAGGATACGATCAGCTCTCATGAAAGCATTTTTACTGCTGTACGTGTGCATACAAAGCACCAGGGGAACTTGCTAACTTGCAGATTCTGAGGCAGTAAGTAGGTCTAGGGTAGAGCCTGAGATGCTGTTTTTCTTTTATTTATTTATTTATTTATTTTTAAAATTTTATTATGTTATGTTAATCACCATACATTACATCATTAGTTTTTGATGTAGCGTTCCGTGATCCATTGTTTGCACATAACACCCAGTGCTCCATGCAGAACGTGCCCTCTTTAATACCCATCACCAGGCTAACCCATCCCCCCCTCCTCCCTCCCCTCTAGAACCCTCAGTTTGTTTTTCAGAGTCCATAGTCTCTCATGGTTCGTCTCTCCCTCCGATTTCCCCCCCTTCATTCTTCCCTTTCTGCTATCTTCTTCCTTTTTTTTAATATAATGTATTATTTGTTTCAGAGGTACTGCTTTTCTTATGAGCTTCTAGTGATGCTGATGCTGCCAGTGCATAAGGCCACACCTTGACAAGCAAGAGTCTAAAATATAGCAGAGTTCTGGGTGCCTGGGTGGCTCAGTCGTTAAGCATCTGCCTTCGGCTCAGGTCACGGTCCCAGGGTCCTGGGATCGAGCCCCACATCGGGCTCCCTGCTCAGCAGAGAGCCTGCTTCTCCCTCTCCCACTCCCCCTGCTTGTGTTCCCTCTCTCACTGTGTCTCTCTCTGTCAAATAAATAAATAAAATCTTTAAAAATATATATATAGCAGAGTTCTATTTTCCTGTTACTCCTAACTAAATATTTATCATTATCTTCCCTATTACCTGACAACAGGGAATTTACAAACAATGAAAGGTCTCTCAGACTGAAAGAAATACATGCCCTCAAACACACACACACACACACGCACACACGCACACACACACACACACACACACACACACCCTTAACTTTTAACTTTTGCAAATGACCTTACCTTCTCATTATAGATTCATTGTTTTATAACACTACTCCCAGAGGGTTGTAATTTTGGAGATAAAGCTTTCAGGAAATTAATGGATTTCTTGTTGTCAGCACTAAGGCACCTCTGTTCTACAGTGAAATTTGAAAGTATATTGATAGCATTTGTCTTTGCATTTCATAGGAAATAATCACCCAAACACTTGACGGTTTTTACTTCACTCTTGGGAGAAGCAGTGTCTGCCCATTAAAGGAAGCAATGTGAGAATGTTCTTTTCCACCCACCTTCTTTGGCTATTTCAGAAGCTTTTATTAGAATTCTGATGGCCTGTTTGTATTCTTTATTTTCTAGCATTTTGTCTGAGAGTAATCTGTAAGTCCTCAGGAGACTCTCACAGGCCAACAAGTTGAGAAAGCGGCCTGTCTCATCCTTCCATACCCGCCCTTGCGTCAATTGATGGAATGCTTCATAATGCTCAGCAGCTTCCAGAAGCTGACCTGAAGAATAAAAGCCATTCATAAATATAAACACAAGCCAGAACATATTTTCAAAAATTTGGTACATATCTTATGTTTTACTATTAAGGGGGGTGGAAACCATGGAATACAGTCAAGAATCTCTAAGGATGAAGAAGATTTAAGCTGGGAGAGGAGTGATCTCAATTTGAACCTCAGATTCAGCAATGATTTTGGATGAACACCTGCTGGATGGATGTATCTTGGCAAGTAGAAATTGGCTAGGATTACACATATTTAGAAACGGTGTGAAAACCCAATAATAATTACTAATAGCAATCCTGTTAGCTAACCTTTATTTGACATTACATAGGCAAATTCATGTGCTACATGCTTTACATGAATTTCTCATTTAATCTTCAAAATACTATTGTGAAATGGGATTGTTATGATTCCATTTTACAGAAGAGAAAGTGAGGTTAAGAATTTTGCCCATGATTGCACGACTAGTGGGTTTGTATATCCAGGCAGTCTGAGTCCAGAACCCATGCTCTCAACCACTATCCTACGCTGCTTTGCAACAGACAGCATCTGTTTCGATCCCAAGAAGAATTCAGGTACCCTGAGAAAGAATGCGTCTGTTACAAATTTCAAATTCAATTATTATACAGGCATTTGTATACTCCGTTTCATTTTTAATAATTAAAATACAACTTGGCTGCCTTTCTGGATTATATTTCATAATACAGTTCAAAATAGACCTTCTCAAAGCCAAAACTCCAAATTAGCTTTCAGTCATTTCACTCCTTGAAATAAGAGCAAGCACATTTCTGGCAGAGGAGTTTGCAGTTCCACACTGTGGACTGTATTTTACGTGTGAATTGCCTTGTGAAAATCCTCACCATATCCCGGAGTGTAAACACGCTTTCCCGGTATTGGGAGTTACCTACATTGAGATTAACTGGGAAGGCACTTGTATGTAGGCATTCCAATAGCAGTGGTTAAGAGTGAGTGCCGGCTCCAAGCAGACACCTTGGTTCTTATCCCAGCTTTACCCTTTCCGCTGTTTAGCCTCAGGCTACTTACTACACTTTCTGTGCAGGAGTTTAATTCTTTTACAAAATAAGATGACAGTGTACACTATTCAAGGTGTTATGGTGAGAAATGGATCAATACATGTTCAATACCTGAACGCAGGATTCTCTAAGCATAACTTACGCTTTCCGCGAAAGGCTTTCCGTAGTTGAGTCTTTATAACACTATTGCCATGGCTGATTAAATTAACCTACGCAAGTCTTAATCAGGCTCAGTATATTTTCTCAAATAGGTTTCATTAGATATCACAGGTTAGATAATATAGGGTATGGCAGCCACTGCCATGACTCTTAAATATAATTTCCCCCTATTTTTGCCCTGAATTTGCCGTCAAAATTAGTACTGGAGTATTAAAGAATATACACATATATAAGAAGAGCATTCACAAAGAAATACAATAAACAGAGGTGGACAATCAGCTAATGATCTGTAAAAACACTGAGTAGAAGCATGGCCAGTCCGAGCCCTTGTTGCACCATGTAGAAGGAAGGCATATTCACCAGGACACACACAGAGAGGGGAATGTGTACAACAGAGACACTTAGAAACTTGTCTTATGAAATTTTCACATGATACAAGACTACAGAGCCATAAATATGATACTATAGAAGACTATTTCATTACATGGACAGGTGTTTGTGATAAGTGAAAATATTGGACAACATCAGAAAACATTTACAAAGCATTATCAGTGTTACATGGGTGACTGATGGTTTCTTTTTTCCTTTCTGATTATTGGCATTTTCTAATGTTTCTATCATCAAAATATGTTTATTGTGTAATAAAAATATATGATAGAAGCTATTTCAAAAATAATGCCCAATCCTTTTTCATTTTGATGCAAATGCTCAAGGTTGAAGTTCACTGTTCTATCTTCCCATTTAACTCACAATTTTTCTCTTACTTCCCACAACAGCAGGCATACTTTCTCATCTCTCTCCTACTGTAGCACCTCTCACCAGAAACACCTTTCTCTAAATACCCATGACCCTCATTTTTTTAAAAAACTCAAATGGAACACTGACATATATGTGTGTTATGTTTCCTCTGTTAACTATATTTCTGCCTGTAAAGTACAGCTCTGTATTCCTAGAAAGATGTATACCAGAGTTTGTTTTTTTTTCCATCCAGCATCCATCTACTCATAAAGTACAGGTACATATTTCTCTTTGGCCACGTGAATAGGGAAAGATAGATACAGGGAACTCTGAGTAAACTAGATAGTTCCAGAAAAAAAGAATTGGGACTGTAAGAAGACTAGGAAGGACCTAATGGCATCTGTGGTTACACACAATAGCCAGATGGAAAGAGGGTCCAAAGATGTGTTATAAAATAACAGATTCACTCACAATTCCAGGAGGAGAGCCAGGAGGTGAAGCTCTGGATAACCCAACTAATTACAATGAGATGCAAATAAGCAGAAAGATGTAAATAGTATTATAAGAACTGATGGCCATGTCCAAGATCTGATCTACATGGGAGCAGAAAGAAGAGGCTGGGGGAGGGAAGGAAGAGTAGAAAGTAGGGAAAGGAGAGGTGGAGGAAGTGGAGAAAGGGGTGATGGTGAGGAAGAGTGGAGAAAAAGTGGGGATTATGTCTTTGTATTCCCTAACAGCCAGACTCCCCTCTGTGTTATGGGCGCTATTCAGCATCTTGGACAGGCTGTCTAAGGAGAAATGAAGTACAGGGGGTTTGGCAGAAATTGGTTTCAGTTGGTTATTATGCCAGGAAACCTTGGAATGTGGTTAAGTTTGATTTTTACTAAAGCTTTGAGGGCTCATATCAGTGTCTTACTTAGCTCATGATTACTGGCCAAGGTTCAGCTCTCAGAAAAGTAAACTTAATGTTTCTCAGGAGGAAGGAGCCTGGTGTAAGATGCTCGGGTGAAAGAGAACAGGTCAATACTCTTTCCTGAAGGCCTACTGGGTGCTCGTCAAGACGGAAGGCTTTCCCCCCATTCGTTATTTTACTTAACCTTCCAAAAACTGATAAAGTATATATGATCATTACTTTTACACTAATGAGGAAATTGAGGCTCACAAAGGTTAAATGACTCAAATAGCTAAAGAGTGATGTTTAGAATTTAAAACCATGCCTCTTGGTTCCACCACCCCAGATGCTAGTCAACAAACCAAGCGTCAGGACCTTGGGTGGAGTAAGTTACATTCTCCGGACATAAATTTCTCAAGTTAAAAACAATGTTAGAGCTATATGATTTCTAGTCTCTTCCAGTTCTATAACTCTTATTCAGGCAATTGCAGGTAATTTCTAACATAAAAGCACAGATATTAGCCCCTGATGTGTTTCTGATTGGTCTTTCTGAAGGAGTCTGATGTATAACCAGCTATGCATCCTGCATCTAAATTCCCTACTTTCCCATAAACCATGTGGTGACATCCATGGGGCTCCTAGAATTCCTAGGTTGCTCCAGACTTAGTCAGCTGTGGCCATATCTAGCTATTCATGGATTCACTTCCCCTTCCTTAACCACATTGCCACAGATGAGGCCACTGGGAATTCTATTTTAAACCGAGGTGCCTAAACAGAGGTGCCTAAACAGTAGAGTTTTCCAGTCCTTCTCAGATGTCAAGATGCATTTCTAAAGTTATTTGTTTGTTTGTCTTAAAAACAATTACATGATATTTTCATTTTAAAAAAATGAGGGTCATGGGTATTTAGAGAAAGGTGTTTCTGGTGAGAGGTGCTACAGTAGGAGAGAGATGAGAAAGTATGCCTGCTGTTGTGGGAAGTAAGAGAAAAATTGTGAGTTAAATGGGAAGATAGAACAGTGAACTTCAACCTTCAACAGACCAGCAAATAAGCCAGCAAGATTTTGATCCAAATGATCATAAGCACACAAATGACTTGGCTACACTTTCTAAAGGCTGGTCAGAATTTGAAAGCACATATTATAATATGGTATATTTGATTTTAAAATATTAAAATATAGTCTATACTATGAAGGGAGCATAGTAATTTAAATATGCAAGTATTTCCCTTTAAGCATGATTAACAATGGAATGATTTCCATTTAATTTATATTTTCAACTGTGAGTAGGATTTCAAAGATTTTCTTACTTTCTGGGTAAAGACTGATAATAATAAGACTAGATATTTATTAAGACATAATGCATCCTGTTTTATTTGAAAAAGTTTAAATATACCTGAGAGAAATATTCTAAGAGGCCATCATTATAGTGGTCATTTTGACAAAGCTAAATGTAAAAATTAATGAAGATCATGAACCAGTTTTTTGGTTCATAGCATCCCTTTGTAACTTCTTCAAAGTGTTCATATATAGTCTACCCCTTTTTACCAAAGAAACCTTAAAATATCAGAACCGGGTGAGATTTCCAGATCCTACAACCAATCTTATGGAAGGACAAGCGTCTAGACAACTGTCCTTTTCTGGAATTATCAAGTGGTAACATTATTTTCCATTGAAGAAGAGGGCAGAGAAAAGAAGGATTACACCAAGGTACCACAAAAATAAAAGTTAACTGAAAACAAGAGAGAAAAGAGAAGCCCTCAGGAATATTCATCCATGGGAAAGGTCTCCAGGGGCATGTGAGCTTTCTCATATGGCAGCAGGAATTACAAGCAAATCATAATCATCACTATGCATAATAAAGATCGCAGGAGTAACCCCCATAAAGAAGACAACTAGGGCTCAGCTAAGTGCCTGGAATGCATGGTTTTATGCTAAGCAAAATTCCAGAGACTTCACTAATATTTCAAGTGAATCAAGGAAGAAAATGGAGCCAAAATGTTTCATGGGAGGGAATCGAGACGGCCCTCCACCAATACCATCAGTAATCAGTTCATTCAATAATATGAGGTACTATCAGAAAACACTCAGGAGATACACCAAACAAGTGTGTAAAACAAGAGTGTCCAGGTATGGATGGAAGTATCCTAAGACTCAGTTTTGGGCTTTTGTTTGTTTG